TAGAGTAGACCCAGAAGGCACTCCTACTTTTCTGCCGCCTGCCTGAGTTTACCAATCACATCATCCTTAGAGCTCTGCCCCCATGGGAAAAGGACACTCGTTTGCCACTAGTAGTTTAGGGCTCTGGCAATCCCACTGTAGCAGTGAGTTTAGTGAAGCCATTAACTTCCACTGCATGTCTGAAGAGTGAGCAAGCACTGGAGAGAGTGCTATTCAGACCATAGTTTGTAACCCTAGTATTATGCAGACTTCACTAACTGCTGTTTTGTCAGTTGTTCTCTATAGCTTTGGCTCTGTAGAAGAGCCTGAGATCTATTTGCCATATATTGCTAACTGGACTACATCGTTTCCTCTGTCTCATGTTCTCATCTTCAGTTTATTTTTTGGATATCAAATGTCCAAGGTGAATTTGAGGGTATTCTTATAAACCTGAATATATCACTACTGTTTAAGGGAAACACTGAACTGGATGAGAAGTGCTAGTTGCAGAATGTAGGATGAGAAGAAGGAATTTAAGATTTAGGAGAAATATAGATATCTGCATCCCAAATGGACATCTCTAAAATCGTTGCTCTGCTAGAGTCCCTTGAGCTCCATCAGAGCTCTCTTGACAAACCCTTTTTTTTCCTAAGTGCTTTGTGCTAACGCTTTTGTGCATGGCCTGAGTTGCCCCTATTGTGTCATCCAGTACAGCTCAGAACCTATCGCATACAAGAGCTTTCTCTTAGGATCTAGAACTAATCAGTCCTTCACTTTTTTTTGAAGGCTCAGTCTGCTGGACTATCTCAGATCACGACTTGCGTATACTAATAGCCTCGAACTGCTCACAAAATAGAACACAGACTTTCACTCTCTGTTAAAACATAGCTAGAGAAGTAAGAGGACAGCAGGTCATTGATTAGCATTATCCTCTAGACGGCAGGAGACTCGGCTCTTTCTGTTGCTGGAAGAGATTTAAAGCCATCTCCCAGTTGCTAGGCTAAGAGTGCGCCCCCTGGCCATCGTAAAGCTTTACAGCAAAGCTTTAAGGTCTCATTGAGTGACTGTGAATTTTAGGGCGTTTGGGGGAGGAGAGAGTCATGTGTTGCAGTCCTTACTCCCAGGGCTGTTTGTACATTTTAGCTAGTGACTGTTGAGTGCAAAATGGCGTGGATTAAGATGCTCAGAGTCTCTTTTTATATCCCAAATTAGTTGTTTCTTGATGAGTTGAAATGCTGGTGTGGGTTTGACAGCTGCCCAGAAATAGCACCCAAACTGTCAGGTCCCATTTCTCCCTCACATTTGGCTTCTGCCATGAATGTCTGAACTGCTGTTTCCACTTGACTCTACAGATGCCAGCTGGGTCATTTGCAGCTGTTGTGCAGAGTCCACAGAAGAAACTGTAGCTATGAGAGACTCGTCTCTCTATCATGAGGTGCCGCACAGTGGAAGCTGTAAGTACATGCAGCCTCCAGAGAAGTTTCTGCCAGAAATGGGGACTGGTCTCTCAGTGGGTAATTAGAATCTACACTCACTATCCTCTAATGCTGGATTTCAGTCTGTGGCAGTGAGGGTCCCAGTGGGTTAAGTAGAGAACTTGCATCTTCAGGGACCTCACAGTGAGGGAAAGACGGGGAAGAGCTATGCTCAGCAACAATGGGTGCATGCTGTTCATAGGAGGTTTGTAAAGCTTAGGGAATCCCCACCTTGGCTGAAGTGCTTCAGGCTTTCCTGCTAGCAGCCCAGCCTCTCACATACTCCTCAGGGTTGGCCATCTCAAACACTGTTCTGCCTCAGGTAGATGTCTAAGCTATAACTAACCCCTGAGCTACCTTTCAGACTTGTATCTCACATAGGCTTAGCCTTTCTGTCTCCCTATTTGTTTCTTAAAGTTTTTTCTCCAGTCAGCCAGATATTAACAGGCTCCATTGCATTTTTGTGAAGTGTTAGGGTCAGGCTCCACCTAAGGTGTATTACGTTTTCTAGAGTGGTAACTGGGTATTTCCTGAAAGGATGTTAGCAAGTTAATTTGACGTGATGGTCAAGACCAGTCATTCCTGACCTATAACAGTTTATCTGCTGAGTTTGAAAGGACATGCACATAACGGAGCGCATTGCCCCCTTGAAGAAAAACACTTGTTTGGCAAGTGTGATACCTAAAAAAAGACTTCTGCTGGTGGAAACAATGGGCAGTCCCAGGGTTATGCGAGTTGTTGTTCCAGTGTGCTTTTAATTTGAGAATTGCTCTGAAGAGCTGCAGTAGGTAGATTTTCTGTGGACCCAGATAAAATTGGAAAAACACCCACTTCATCTAGCTTGTGCTGTTTTATTTAAGCTCAGCTGGCTTAATTCCATTACAGTCAGGTTTATTTGATGTTTCTCCATTAGCTAAGTACTGCTGGATGCTCCAGCACAACAGACTTTACAGTAAGGAGCTGAAAACAGAGGAGCAGGCTGTAGTGTTATTGGCATTCCCTACAGTTGCCCTTTTGCTCCTGTTGAGCGTCATTTTCTGCTGTAGAGCAATACTGAAGCTGAACTGGCAAGAGACAAGGAGGAGGAAGACTCCTGAAAGGAGGAAAAGGAAACCACTTTGACTTCATCATTATCCTTAAGCTCCTCAAAATGCCCTTTGCTGATTGATAGCCTGATGCCCACACATCTCTCAGTTCTTTTCATGGCTTTTCCTTGCCTCACTGATTTATTCTGGGTGAAGAGGCTCCCATAAACAAAAAGAGAAGCTCTCAGCATCATTTCCACATTGGGAAGTGTTATTTCAGTAGCTAGCAATCTGCTTAGAAAAGAAAGCCAAATCTTAAAACAGTACTGCCATTCCAGGCACTGTTACCTTGTGCTGTTCTGTTGCTTCTGCTAATTTTCCAAAGCTTTGTTACCCTATTTTTGTTATATCTGATATAGTAATATCTGTGGGAAATTCTTAATGGCTTATGACTGCTTGAGAACTCAACTCACATGCACACATACATGCACATTTCACAAGCAGTCTAAACGCAGTCACTTTCTGTATTGGTAGTACGTTGCCTAAGTTCCTGGCGATGAAGAAAGGGAAACGCTACAAAACCCAGAGGTAATTCTACTGCATTTGTTGGCTTTGGCTCAAGTTTGCTGCTTCAGTAGAACACATTGTATAAAGCTTTAAAAACAATGTGCGATTCAGCAATATTCTTCTGAAAATGATCAGATGTATCTGATGAGAAAACCAAATGGATCAGCAAGTTTTCTATGAACGAGTCTAACATGCAGGTGGAGAGGACCTATGTTTATGACAGACTCTAATTAGGGCTGCTAATAAAGGAATTGTCCCCAGAATACAAATTTTAAGAATACACATATGGTTGTGTCTGAGGTTAAGTAGAGTGCAGCACTGCTAAGAACTGCAACCAAAGTTCTCAGGTTGTAATTTACAACATATCGGGTAAAGAACAGGGGTCTATTCTTGCAAGTAATTTAAGCAGTCAAATCGTTCTGTTCACTCTCTGATGACTAATAATAATGTCTTCAATTTCACACATTGATTTCTCCAGTTTGAAACAACGCATGCTGAAGTAAAGTGAGTTCCCTAGTGAAATCAGCACAATCATGGTTTTGTCTTCTCCATACCTTGCTGGAAATTCCACACTGCTAGAGTAAGCTAATTTCCTTGTACTCAGGATGACTATTGGAGTGGGACTTATATTTTTCTGTCGAGGACATACACACTGCTGATCTGCTGGTCATCTGCTATAAGACTTACGGTGCCACATTGCCTATCCTCAAGAACTGCTTTGCTCGTACAGAAAACCTGAAAACTTGTTTAACTGTCTAAGCAATAAATTTCCATTGTCAACAGCAGACATCTCAACAAATATTCTCTTCAGTGGATGACAAACAAACACCCTCTTGGTTTTTGCAGCAATTAGTATTTAATTAACTAAGTATAGTTTTAAACTGGGGGAGGGTGGGAGGAAGAGCAAGGGAATTTAGTATCAGCATAAAATGCAGTATGGACAACTCTGGGACCACTGATCCACATAAAACGTGAAGCAAGGTCTGCAGGGTGGAAGTTTCTCTTTTATCTGTCTTGCTCTAGAGGGGACAGTTGTGGGAGGGAAGGAGAGTTCAGGTATTATGACTGTTGCTGGTGTAGGGCCACACAGGCAGTATTATTTACTACAGATTGATTCTTGAAGCACCCCAGCTGGTTAGTTCCAGATGCTCCTTCTGTGTCCAGTAAGGGAAATGGTAAAATGCCAAGGGAAATTTTCCTTATGTGGCCTAACCCAGATATAGCTACTAAAATCTGGCACCTGTGCATATATGTCGCCAAATGTTAGAGAAGAAAGAGTCTGCAGTGTGCACCAAATCATTTCATTCTACTGAATGTGATATGACTGCTAGGAAAACAATATCTATGCTAGCAGCATGTAACCTAAATCAATGCCAGGAGCATGTACGATGAAACGCAGAGTTTGTGAGATGCTAGGTATTTATGTTTGTTGCTTTCTTTCTCACGTTTAGGAAATAGTATACAAAGGGAAATTAAAGGGCAATGTGCTACAATAGGAAAAGGACCCTCAGATACTGTGATTAAAGCTATTCTGTGGCTTGACTGACCTGGTGTTTCAGCATGAGGAAGAAAAGTGAGCAGAAAGAATAACAGCTTTTCAGGCATCTCCATTTACCTAGAGAGGCACCAGACAGGCCTTTCCTCTCACTCCTGGACTGCCTGGAGAACGGAGCGGCCAAAGGGGTTGAGGGTCATGGACCATATTCCCCTGTTTCCTCTACGTTGCTGATCAAAGGCTATGGCTGGCATGACTCTCTATGTGCGTCTAGTAGCCTAGTCACTTGAGTGTAAAGCTGTTTCTGACTGCAAAAATATATGCCCTGCTTTCAAACAGCTCTCTTCTGAGCAATGGAGTATTCACCTCGCTGAGATGGAGGTTCTGATGGGGATAACATTGCCACCACACACATGTTTTGGTACTATTAACCATGTTCCTTTCCTGTTTGCTCCACAGATCCTATGTGGGAAAGAGATCCCTCGCTGGGTGAACCGCCTGGCCTACTTCAGCTCGTGCATCCCCTTCCTCCAGAGCTGCCTCCCCAAGGAGTGGCTGACCCCAGCAGCCCTGCAGAGCCACATCAGCCTCGGCCTCCACAAGGAGGAGCAGGGGGACACAACAGATGAGGAGTCCCCCTCCACCTCTGCAACCCCCTCAGCCTCAGGCACCTCGCGAACCTGTAGACATACCCGTGTCTAAGCTGTGTCCAGTATGCCCTTGAGCACCATTCCCTTCTCTCTAGTACTATTTATTTTTGATGCACCCTTTCGCACACCTTGGTTTCTCGCTCCTATTTTTCTTCACCTGACAATGCAGTGGGAGGAAAGTCCCCTTCTACTGAGGTGGTGAAGCTGCAGTCCCTTTTCAAAGGGCTGCCGTGGTAGTTGCTTGGCAAAATGACTGTGAACGCCAACACTGAGATGAGGAGTGTGGTGACTAAACTGGATTCTCCTCCCAGGGCCTGTATGCCCCTCGATCCACAGTGAACTGTTGGCTCTCTAGGGCATGAGAGCATGCATATGGGCAGGAGATCACCATACTGTGAAGTTCCTTGTCTGGAACTGTTTTATCTTTTTATCTTTTCCTCCACCCACTTAAGCCCCACTTAAGCCCACCAGCCTCCTCTCCATTTTGGCTGGGGTTGCCATTCCCCTGAGACATATTTCCTGTCCACACCCACTGAAGGAAGCAGAGCCAGAGCTCAACTTTCTTATCTCTTAGACCAGCAACCAGCTCCAGTCAGCCCCCTCCCACCCTTTTGTAATTACCAAGTTTCTTAATCATTTGAAGGACAAATGAAAGGTGCTGCTGTTCTACAACTACCAGTTTTCAGTACTCAAATTTAAGACCTCGAATGACTGCTCTACTCTTGAAAACAAAAAGAACCTAGAAAATGAATGTGTTACTGTGGCTTTTCTTTGGGATCAGAAAAGAGGATGGGGCTAGTGCTTAGAGGCAGCTACTGAGTAGGTGCAGAAATGACTGTTGGCCATACCAGTGCTCTTTGGCACGGCCTCCTTTTAGTTCCCCTACTTCTAGGCAGCGTTCCTCATGTCCTCTCTTTCCCTTTCCCCAGACTGGGGAACCTCTCTCCTAGTTGACATTTGCAGGTTGCACTTTGGGAAGTAGCTCTCTGGGGCATTAGGATGAGGAAAAGGAATTTGCTGGGAGGTTCAGTACTTCCTTCAGCTTTTCCTCCTGCACTCATAGACCTAAAACAAGCCACCTTTCCCCAGGGTATCTTTGAGCCAACCCAAGAAGATTAAAACTATCTAACTGGTGAACCCAAAGAACGTCCACCTGTTTCCTTTGAGGTGCAGAGGGAAACCTAGGGCCACGTCAGGAAGTATGGAGGACCCTTCCCATGCGTGGGCCACCAAGGTGCCTTCTGTAACGTGCACTATTTCAGTGGCATGAAAATGGGCACAGCTGGCTTACTGGTCTCTCTAGGCTAGCTCTTGAGAAGAATCTGCCTGGTCCTTGGATGTATTTACGCTCATTCTGATGGCTGAGGAGAAAGCTGAGGAGGAGAAAAGGACAGATACAGCAATTCTTCTACTCAGTTACCTAACTAGGAGTTCTATTCAGAAGGTGCAGGAGAGTGCCAAAGGGGAAAATCTAGGCCCCCTTTCTTCCTTGCAACTCTTTTGGCTACACAAACAAGGATGGAAAAGGAACGTACAGAGCATTGACAGCATTTTAGGAATGCTGTTCTCAATAGCACCTACCAAGTCAGAATTTCCTCCTTCCTTCCTCCTTCCATCCACAAAGAAACCCAAGCCCTTATGGTGGGTGGTTGTTTCCTTTTATCAGTCGCAATGAGAACAAGAGTGTGCTAAGTCAAATCACCTGTTTCTTAAGCTCAGGTATGCAGAGGAGCGTGCAGAGGGCTATGCGCAGCCCTGACGTACTCATATCTGCACAGACAACGCTTAATGGTTTGTTATGCGTGTGCATGTATGCTCATGGGCATGCATGTATACACATGCACAGAGAAATGAAGGAAGCTCAAGCATGAGGTGAAAGTGATTGGAAGTAGAATTAGAGAAAGCTATCTTAGTGAAGCCAGAGGCTTTGAAGTGATCTATTGGCTGGAAATACAACTGTCAGAGGATGGTCAAACACCACCTCCTCCTGCGGGAATGCCTGTTTGTGCAACAAAACCTTTACAATATACCTTTACAATTCTCATCTTGTGAACAAATTGCTGCAAGTTCTGTACAGAACGAAAATGATATTCCTTATTAACCTTGGCTGCTCACAGCCAATACTGCATTATGTGTAATTCTGCAACTCCTGGTATCGACAGCACCTGTCTTGATTACCCTGGCTTGTCCAGGGAAGTTTAATAAGATTTCCCTCCTGTTCTCCATTCTGCTGCCCAGAAACAACATTACACAACGTACTGCTGCACTCTTTATATCCCTGCAGTCATGGCCATTGTAGCCTAAACCAGCAGTGCAAGCTCCACTTTTTGAAGTTCCCAGGTGCCTGCCAATAACCAGAGGCGCGTCACGTGCCGTGACTTTTAAAATGTCTTTTTACGTCCGTCTCTGGAGGGAGGTGAGAAGAGGCATTCCCAGAGCTTTTGTGTAGGCAGGGAAAACTGTGCTCATAAACAGCTAGCACCTGATGTAACAAAAGCCAGCCAGCCATCACCCTAACGTTTCCATTCCGCACCTGAGCTCCAAAAAACATAATGTATTGAGGGCAGAACTAGGGCTCCAGGGGCATGTGTTTCACAAGGAAAAGTCTCTCACAGTATTTCAGAAAGTAAAGCAGTTAACTGGCTGTACTGTAACCCATGCAGGCAAGCTGCACGCAGCACCCCTGGGGAGATGGAGTATGCGCTTGAAGTATTGGGAGCAACCATTGGGGCAAGCTGTCAGCATCACAAAAAACAGACGTTTGTTTGCCTTCTTCTATGTTTGTCAGTGTTTACAACAATGGGAGCCACAACAAGGAGGGCGAACATAAAACCTCTGCTGTAAGTCAAAACCAGAATATGTTCCAATCTTCACAAGAGTTTCTCCCCACTCCTCTGTGTTCAAGGTTATTGACCAATACTGACAGGAACAAGGGGACACTGTGGAAGTAAAACATACATTGATAATAGCTTTATCTCTGTAATTTAACAGCATTTTAGATTATTAAAAATTAAGACATTTTTAAAGTCTAATCTACTGTTCATCTCTGGCACAGACTGTTTCAGGCACCTCTCTCATCCTTCCAAACATGACATTGGACTATTTATATTTAGCCTCACATTTCCTTTCTCTTACACTTTCCAATTCTGCTGTTTTAGATTCTAAAACCATGGGAGAGTTTTAGATATCAACAGTTATCAATGAAAATAAAAGAGCGGTTTGTGAATCTTGAAGAGAGCTCCCAACAGCATTAATACACACTCAACCCTTCTTCCCATTGCCAGGACTTTTTGTGCCCTTTTAAAAGGGGAGGGGGAGGCTGTTGACTCTGCACATGGGCATGAGCAGCTGTGGATTATTGTGCTTACAGAGAGCTAACAGTATCCAAGTGAAACAGTAAGAATGAAGGTAAGGCAGAATATTAAAGGTATGAGAAAATACAAACTGATTCTAGGGAAAGTTAGACTGAGAGGAAAGATGTAAGTAATAACTTCTTTTCTTAACACTTCTATAAGAGCAACTCTCTTAATTTCAGGATATTATTCTTATGGGGATGTTTTTGTCATTTGGGTTCCTCCTTTTGAGTGTGTGATTTGAGACCTACAGCTCTCAAATGCTTACAAAGTTTAGAAAGGAATAACTTTTCTTTCAAAGCTCCTGTGTGAGTTAGTCCCCAAACCTATGCTCTGTGATGAGTTCATCCCAGTCTCAGCACAGTGCAGAGAAGAACACAGAGCTGTCATCATTCCCAGCTGAGTTCACGTTTCTGTAATTCAGACCCATATTGGCTTCATGTTATTGATGTAGGCAAGAAGCAATCATCTCCTGCTATATTATTTTTTTTATTCTTCAGTTCTGTTTATTTGTCTGTAGTGTGGAGAGGCTTCCATAAAAAGTTAGCGGTCACTGGATTGCAACAATGTTAGTTTGGCTTGTTATTTTGTGTGTATGCATGACTTTCCTTTTTGGTTTGTGTATGTGTGGTGGCTTGTTGACATATTCAAAAAACTTAAGTAAAGCAGCCCTACTGTACCCCTGATTAATGGAGAAGACCAAAGGAAGTAATCATCAGTGTTTCCTTTTCCAAAAGGCTTTAAATTACTCTTTGTGTTGAGGCAGCAGGTGACCCGTTCCACTTTGTTAAAAGGGGAGCTTTCATTCTCCCGGTTCTACTCTGCCATTTCCACAGGCTACCAGCACATGGCAGAGCCTCTGGCTGCAGTAATATGTGAAAATGTCACAACTTGCTTCTGGAGGATACTTCCTCTTATCCTCCAAACTTCAGCACTCTACAGCTGTGCATGTAGCTGTGGCTGAGAAGCGCTTTAGAGGATGACAGGGCACATACAATTACAACCAGGAAGGAATGACTTACGGTTCTGAGTCTCAGAGTAGACTGTCCATTAACGCTGTCATAGGTACCTAGTTTTCAAGGCGCTATAAAAGCTTCTGCACCTGTTGGTTTAGTATTTTATTTTAGTGACTAATTCTGACAGTCTCTGGTTGCAGGCTAAATAGGGCTGCGCTTCATGCATGGGGTTATGGTTCTTAAGGCTGTGTCTGCGTCCCACAATTGATTAACCTGGCTGCTCAGGAAGAGCAGGACTCATAGTGCAGCCTTTCCTAGAGTCCATCTGCAGGCTCTTTCCTCTATCCAGTTGCCGTTTTGATTTTTGAGCTCGACTCCTCTGTTGTACAATTGAAATGAACCAGAGAATCCAGTGTAATTGGGATAAGAGAAAACGACGCAAGCAAACAGACAGTATGACCATGGCAGTCTTATTTCCTTAGGAAACCAGACAAAATGAAAGACACTATTAACCCTACACGTGTGAAACACGTCTCTGTTGCTGGAAGTCTTTACGTAGTATGTATGTATGTACAGTGCTCAATCTTCTCTGGCCCCCAAACCACAGTATCTAGAGCTCACTGAATAAGAAATGGCAATCCTCACCTTGCTGACAGATGGAACAGCACTCCCTTCACTGCTGGGAACACTGCCGCAACGTTCAATGCTCACAGGGATTTTTCTTCATTGTGCACAGCATGAGCCTTTGTTTCTTCCCAAATGATTTGCTGCAGGCTTTTCCTCTTCTTTTTTTTTTTTTTTTTTTTGACAACCATTCTCTGTCACCTGGATCTGCCTGGGGAAACGTGTTCTTTCTTTCACCTTCAAGGTTTTTGAAGGGAGCTTCTCTGAGGGACTCCCTGCAAGAAACCATCTGGCCACATGGTAACACTGAGTTCCCCTTCAGCCTCGGGGGTTATCTGGAGAGTCTTTTTCTCTCTAGTCTTTTGTTGTTGTTTTCTAATTTCTATGGCTTCAAAGGTGTCTGTACGGACAGAAAACTCCGCTCTCGCTCTCTCTCTCTCTGCACACACACATCCAAAAGGAATTTTATCTTAGTAGGATACTTCAGAGTCAGGCCTGAGTTACTGCAGTTTTGTGGACGGTATCCATCTCACCCTTAGGGATTATGCTGTAGTGAGTAACTGTTTTTTCACTGTCCTAGAATACAGACTGAACTACCAGTCATTACTGCAGCATTACATTCCCTATAATATAATAGTAGAGTATATTTACACAATGATTTGTGATATTAGTAATAAGGTCTTCATAGGTGCCAAAATAATCAATACTAAGAATTCTAGTGTAGTGCTTAGCAGCCTGCGAAGATGAGGATGTCACTGTGCTAGCTGTGGTCCAAACACATAGCAAGAATAGGATTTCTGAACAAACAAGTTTCCTGGAGAAATAAAGGGTGGGTAGATTTCATTCCACATGCCACAGGTGACAAATAAAGAAAGCAAGAAAAGCAGCAGAAAACTCTGAGGGTAGTCTAGGTCTGGCAACCTTGCAGCCAGCTCATTTCAAGACTCATTTCCCTTTTCAACATTCATACGCTGTTACTAGCATCTCCTGGCTCTAAATCCTAGCTGCTTACTTACGCAGCAGATGCTGTGGTTCCAGACCTGTCCTTTCTTTCCCGTGGGTACAGTGGAAGGTGTATATGACCTAAGCACTCAGCTATGCCTGCTGTAGGACGTGGGGACGTGCTCCCCAGCCAAGCCTTCCATGTCTCTCCTGAGGAAAGTCATCGGGGGGGGATGAAATTGTCCACGGACCAGTCCATGGACTGCATTGTGCTACCATTAGGTACCCAGCACACCTGTTGCGTATGCACAAAAAAAGTCCTTCACTTCAAACAGCTTTTATGATATATATATGTGGATGAGTGTGTGTAACGCAGAGAAGTCCAGTTAGTCTGGCAGAATGATTTTTTTAAAAGAGACTTGACTCCAAACAGGAAAACTGTGAGATTAAAAACGGGAGTCAGTTAGAAACTAGTGTGAACGGCTCTCATTTGACCCATTCCAGAAGTGCATGCTCTGGCTCAGGAACAACGTTCACTTTGTACCTGAAATTTCCTGGTGTTTTGGCAGTGCTTGAATCTGGGGACCTGACTCAGTTCGTTACAAGGGAACGAGGGCGCTCACAAAGCTTGTGTTCAAAGTTTCTCACGGCTGAGGGGAGGCCAGAGACGGCAGGGTCTGGGGCAGCCCTCTTTGGGCACACAGCTTAGGCCTGGCTTCAGCCTCCCCGCCAGGAACAGCGAGGGGG